TCTGAATTCTTTCTCTGACATATTGCTTGCCTCCATTTCATTTACTTCCTTTTCTAGTGATTCCTTCTTTTCTTTTGTATGCAGGCTGTTTCTTTGTCTCCCTATGATAGCTCCTCTCAGCGTGTCTGGTTATGTAGCTCTCTTTCTCCTGCATTGACACTCTAGGCGATATCTGACCTTTCTGTCCACGGATTGCCTCACCAGCTCAGAATGTATTTTTTGAAAGAGCTTGATCCAAGACTCCACTGTCAAGTCCCAAATGGCTTCTCCACTTCCTGCCAATATGTGATGACTAGGTCTTGCAGCTCCTCTGGAGTCAATTCCATTCCTCTTTCAGCAAACTCAGCCCTTTTAACTTTCCTTTTTTTTTTTATGTATAGGGCGTAATGTCACAGGAAGGCCATAGTATTCTGCCACCCATGAGGAGTAAGCCCAAGTTGCTGTTGGATGTGTTGTACACAGAGAAGCCATTCTTCAGGCGCTCTGCTCTCTCCACACCCAATTAACTTTCCTTCTTAATAAAGGTTCACATCAATGTATATCCACCACGACCACCCATTCCAAACCATCATTTCTTGCCAGAACTACTAGTCTCCCTGTATCTACAAATCATTCTCCATAAGTCAACCAGAAAGATTCTTCTGAAATGTCAGTCCCCTGCTTAACAACATTAAATTCTAATCATAACTGCCCTACATGAACTAGTCTATAACAGTTTTCTTTCTGGAGTCAATTCTCAACACTTCTCACTTCATATTCACATTCTTTTAATTCTTTATTTGTGTCATTCTTTCTCTCCCCACCTCCCTCAATTTCCACGCCCCCCTTTTGTTCCCCGAACCTTTATACAGGTTGCTCCTCTGCCTGGAGTACATCACAGCTCTCTTCAGAGAGCTTACTCTTACTCTTCTCTTGGAGAATAGTTTAAAAGATTATTTTTCTGAAAAAACCTTTCTGATATATCTACCCCCACATCCAGTTCTTTACAAACACCATCAACATAAAAAATTAAACTGCCCAGCTGGCGTAGGTCAGTGGTTGAGCATCAACCTATGAACCAGGAGGTCACAGTTCGATTCTCATTCAGGGCACATACCCGGGTTGTAGGCTCAATCCCCAGTGTGGGGCATGCAGTAGGCAGCTGATCAATAATTCTATCTCATCATTGATGTTTCCATCTCTCTTTCCCTCTCCTTTCTTCTCTGAAATCAATAATAAAATATATTTTTAAAAAAATTAAACTAAGCAGTCCCTTTATGTGTTATTTCTTCGATCATTTCACTTATCACACCTATCTTACAAAATATTGATTCTCTAGTTTCTACCCAGCACTAAGTACTTGTTAAATAAACAAGTGGTCTGCCAGGACTGTAAGTTGTATTTTTCTTAATTTATCTGTTTAGGAATGGATATAATAAGCAAATTATGCCTGAGTAAAAACAGCCAGTAATTTTTATAACAAATAAAGGACCAACAAACTATGTAAAAACGCAAAAAAGACTTCCGAAATGACTGCACAATACATAACATTTTAAATTTATAGTAAAATATAAGTGTTATTTCATACTTGTAATTTGCTATTATTATATGATTTATAATCACATACACCTATTTACACTAATATCCAAGTTTTATATTTTTCCTAGAAAATATGGTAAACGAAATATATACTAGGACATGAAGAAATCGATGAGATTTATCTAGCTATAACATAAAAAAATCACTCCAAGCTATTTTAAGAGAGTTATAAGCATTAAATTGCTTTGGGAAATGGGGTAAGGCACTGTAACCTTTTATTTTTTAAAACATATATATTTTTAAACTATATTTTTATTGATTTCAGAGAGGAAGAAAGAGGGAGAAAGAATTAGAAACATCAATGATGAGAGAGAATCATTGATTGGCTGCCTCCTTCTAGGGATTGAGCCCGCAACCCGGGCATGTGCCCTTGACCGGAATCGAACCTGGGATCCTTCAGTCCAAAGGCCGACGCTCTATCCACTGAGCCAAACCAGGCAAGGACTAAGTATATTTTTAATGATTTCAGAGAGGAAGGGAAAGGGAGAGATAGAAACATCAATGATGAGAGAGACTCATTGATCAGCTGCCTCCTGCATGCCCACCCTAGGAACTGAGCCCACAACCCAGGCATGTGCCCTGACAGGGAATCGAACCAGGACTTCCTGGTTCATAGGTCATAAGTTGACACTCAACCACTGAGCGACACCAGCTGGGCTCTTTTTTTAATCCAAATCAACAAAACAGGTTCGTTAACTCAGAGATCTCTAATGACCAGGGTTAGAATACAGGCACACCTCATTTTATTGCACTTTGATTTACTGCACTTTGCAGATATTGCATTTATTACAAATTAACGGTAAGTCCCTCTATCAGCAAAAAATACTATGACTTGCTGAAGGCACAGATGATGGTTAGCATGTTTTAGCAATAAAGTAACTTTAAATTAAGACATGTACATTGCTTTTTCAGACATACGACAACTGCACACTTAATAGACTAAGTATAGTGTAAACATAACTTTTATATGCACTGGGAGATCAAAAAATTCATGTGACTCATTCTATTGCAATATTTGCTTTATTGCGATGGTCTGGAACCAACCCCACAATGTACACCTATACTCTCAATAGACTGAATTGAAGGTACACAGGTCAACAGATTAAAGATCTAATTTGTTCTTGGGTGAAACTTAACACAAAAATATAGTGGTGAATCTCATCATTAGTCAAGTATCACTATTAAGAAAACAAGATGCATAACTATAAAGATAGTAAATCATTCAATTTGTTGGCATTGAAGGTAAATAGAGTTGAGATTGGATACTTGGGCTGTAACAGCTCTAGCATTTGAGACTAGTGAAACTAGACTTCTTTTAACAAGCAACAAAGAGTTATAAAAAAGTTATTGAGCAGGGAAGTGACAATATACATTAAAATATATAGTAATGCAAAATAGGAAAAGTGATCAATAACGTTATACCTTAATTTTAATGACAGGACAGCTCTATCTATCTATCTCTATCTCTCTCTGTTTCTCTCTTCCACCCTGTCTAAAAAATCAATGGAAAAAATATATGCTCAGGTGAGGATTAACAGCAACAACAACAAAAGTAAACAGCTACGCTACAAATTGGGAGAATATATTTGTAACATGTTACTTAAGTGGGATCAGTACATAAGATTTATTTTAAAAACTTTTAAGAATAATATGTGCAAAGAACAGGCATTATATATATTTCTTTATTGATTTAAGAGAGGAAGGAAGAAAGAGAGAGAGAGATAGAAACATCAATGATAAGAGAGAATCATTGATTGGCTGCCTCCTGCACGCGCCCTACTGAGGATCAAGCCCGCAACCCAGGCATGTGCCCTTGGCCGAAATCGAACCTGGGACCCTTCAGTCCACAGGCCAACACTCTATCCACTGAGCCAAACCGGCTAGGGCAGAACAGGCATTTTATACAAAAATATATTCAGCATCATTAATAAGCAAGAAAATGAAAATTATAACTACAATAAGATACCATTTTATAACTACATCCTTATTACCAGGAAGCTCAATTTACTTGATGATGTTTAAAATGTAGAAAGCAGACTCTAGATAGACACTAAATATACATATTTTAGAGAAAAATAGGTGATAGAACAATGTGCACATATAAAGTACAAAACAGCATGTATAAAGAAAAAAGTAACTTTATTTACAAACTGTGAAAATTATACTTGTTATTTTCAAAATTTACTCAAGAATTCTTCATTAAAAATGGTTAAAAAGTAAGCTCTGATTATCACATTGAGCAACAAAAGGTATTCAATGGTTTGATATAAACCATACTCAATTATTACGTACCAATAAGATTTCTCCACAGAGAGCAGCAGAATAACCCTTAAAATTTGCAAAAGACATAAAATGCAAGAAGGGTCTCAGAAATAAAAACATAAGTGGTTATTTTAAATTATTCTGGGAAAACTTGTTTTTAATTGTACAACCATTTTACCAGAGGCAATTTTGTTAACTCTAACCTTAGTAATAAACTACATCATTTATAAAAGAGTTAAAAAATATAAAGCAAACTAGGCCTGATTTTCTTTATATTTTTAAAGCCACAAAAGTATAAGAATTCTAGTTATTTTTTCTATACTTCCTTGAAAACAAAAGCCAAACATACTTACTGTTGGTTTTTTTCATTTAAAGTATTTATGGCCTGGAGATCAGAAAGAGGTGTCCTAGGATTTTTCCGGGTTACACCTAGCATATAAAAAGCAAAAATTTTCAAATCAGTGCTAAGAAAAACTAAACATGAAGTAATATTTCCAAGGAAAAATGAAATGAATGTACTTTGATAGTAAATATTTGCTAAACATGTCAGAAATAGCTAAATAATAATATGAAGCAAGTCCCATGACTGTTACTTACAAATCTGACTTAACCAACAATGAACCCAATTTTTTCAGCAATAAGTATATTGCTAACATTAACTATAGATTTTAGTGTATTTTGTCGGATATGACTATTGCTACTCCAGCTTTTTTTTCTTTTCCATTTGCATGGAAAATTTTTTTCCATCCCTTCACTCTCATCTTGTGTGTGTCTTGTTCTGACGTGGGTCTCTAGTAAACAGCATATAGTTGGTTCATGTTTTTGTATTCATTCTGCTACCCTATGCCTTTTGATTGGAGCATTTAATCCATTTACATTTAGGGTAATTATTGATAGGTACTTATTTATTGCCATTTTAATTCTGTATGTCTAGGTTTCTCTCTCTCTTTCTTCTTCTTATTACAGCAGTCCCTTTACCATTTCTTGTAATGCTGACTTGGTGATGTACTCCTTTAGCCTTTTTTTTTTTTTTTTTTTGTCTGGGAAGCTCTTTATCTGGCTATCTATTTTGAATGATAGCCTTGCTGGATACAGTAATCTTGGCCTCAGATCCTTGTTTTCCATTACCTTGAGTACTTCATGCCATTCCCTTCTGGCCTGTAGAGTTTCTGATGAGAAATGAGGTGTCAGCATTATGGGAGCTCCTTTGTAGTTAACAGTTTGCTTGTCTATTGCTGCCTTTAAGATTCTCTGTCTTTAATTTTTGGCATTTTAATTATGACATGTCTGGGTGTGGGCCTGGTTGGGTTCTTCTTGCTTGGGGTTCTCTGTGCCTCCTGAACTTGTGTGACTTTTCCTTCACCAAGTTAAGGAAGTTTTTTGCCATTACTTCTTCAAACACATTCTCTATTCCTTTCTCCCTTTCTGCCTCTTCTGGCACACCTACTATTCTAATATTATTACGTTTCACATTGTCCCACAGCTCTCTTAAGCTGTCCTCCTGTTTTTTAATTGTTTTTGCTTTTTGGTTCTCTGATTGAGTGTTTTTTTCAACCCTGTCTTCTAATTTACTGATTTGATCATCAGCTTCCCCTAATCTGCTCTGTATTCCTTCCAATGTGTTCTTTATTTGTGCTATGTCATTCTTTATTTCTGACTGTTCTTTTTTAATAGTTACTATATCTTTTCTCATGCTGTTGAGCATCTTTACCATCATTACTCTGAACTCTGTTTCAGATAAATTTCTTATCTCTGCTTCATTTATCTCTTCTTCTGGAGCATTCGCTTGTTCTTTCATTGGGGGTTGTTTCTCTGTCTCCTCATTTTGGTTGGCTGTTTGGGTTTGTGACTAGGTATTAGATAGATCCTCTACACCTCTCAATCTCTAGTGCAGGACAGTGTCAAATGCTGTTTCAACTATAGATTTTAAATATCAATTAATCTTACATATAAAAACACTAAGAATCAAAGATGACAAATTGCTTTCTTAAGGATTATCAATATTCTTAAGTTTTTTCTTCAAATCATTCAATGAACATTGAAACTCTATAAGCATATGGCTACCAATTTTTATAACCTATCCACACAAAGACATTTACTATAGGTAAGACATATAAGAAGAAGTAAAAGTATCTCTATTCAAGATAACAGTCTTTTATGTAGAAAATTCTAATTAACCCACACAAAAAAATTAGAACAAATGAGGTCAGTAAAATAATAAGATATAAGATCAATATTCAAAATTGTATTTCTATACAATAACAATAATCAAAAAATGAAATTAAGAAATTCCATTAATAACATCAACATAAAAGAAATAAATTTAACAAAAAAGTATAAAATATCTATAATGAAAATGACAAACGTCATTAAAAGAAATTTAATCTAATTAAATGGAATGCCATCCATGCTCATGGACTAGAAAACTTAATAATGTTAAGATGGCAATGCTTCCCAAATGGATCTACAGATCTATGCAATCTCTATTAAAATTCCAACTGCCTTTTTTTACAGAAATAAATACACTGATCCTATAATTAATATGTATATGCAAGAGACCCAGAATAGTCAAACAACATTGAAAATGAGGAACATGGTTAGAGGACTCACACTCCTTGAATTCAAAACTTACAACAAAGAAACAGTAACTGAGACATGGTACCAGCATAACAATAAACAAATATATCAATGGAAAGAAACTGAGAATACAGAAATAAACCTTTACATTTATGATCAACTTAATTTTGATAAAGGTGCTAAGACAATTCATTGAAAAATAATTTCATTTCTTTAGTTCCTAAGTCATGGACACTAATTTCCCTATAACAGATTATCATTGTCTATGTTCTATATCCATTCTTTTCTTCTGCATATTAAAACAATCATCTCAAGCCTTTCCTCAATATTAGTAATTCAATTTTCAACTCTTTCCTCTAATTCTTGAGCTCATACAGATGTTGCTTTATAACTCTGCTTGTTTCAGTAGCTCAATACCTATTTTCATTATCATACTGATATTTTATATCCTCTAATGTGTGCTATTGCTTTATTGGCTTCATGTTCTTAAATTCTTCTATTCTGTTAACTGCTCACAGGGAACTTTTTCTTGGGAGTATTTTTCCTGCAAACAAAATAGGGTGTTTCTTTTAGGGTGATTCTTTTATGCATAACTCCCTTATTTTCCTCTGTGTAATTATGTAATATCAATTATTAAATATTTTAAACATTAAAAAGACAGAATAGTATACTGAACACTTGCAACTGATCACTCAGATTAGGAAATGAAGCCCAGTGCACCACACTCGGATCCCATCCCAACAGCATCAGATCCCAAAATTGATCACTTGCTGGAATTATCATAAAAGTACTTTAAACAGCTATCATAATGTTCAGTGACTTAAATTAGAAGATTATCTTATTGAGTTAACAGATAGTAAGTCTCCAGAAAGAAATGGAAACTAAAAAAGAACCAAATGAATATTCTGGAACTAAAAACTGAAATTTTATGAAGTGAAAAATTCATTTCATGGGTTTAAGAGAAGACTTGAAACAGCATAATGAACTTGAAATCAGATAAATAAAAATTATCCAATCTGAAGAAAAGAACAAAAATAGAAAATAATGAACAGAGTATGAGGAATATGTGTCATAATATCAAATATTCTAAGATCATCTAAATCGGTATCTCAGAAGAAAAAGAAAAATTGTATCAGAAAAAAATTTTAATATTGGCCAAAAATTTCCTAAATTTGATTAAAAACAATGAAGCACAAGTCCAAAAGGTGAAGCAAATCCCAAACAGGATAAATATAATAATTTAGGGACACCACAGTCAAATTGCTAAAATTCAAAAGATAAATAGAAAATCATAAGCAACCAGTGTAAAAAAAAAAGGTGCATTAGATGTGAAAGAATAACAGTAGGGTAATATCAGAGTTTATAAGCACAAATAATGTATGGGAAAAATGAAACAACATCCTTAAAGTGCCAAAAGTTTGATAGTTCCTAATGATGTTAAATACATGTCTATGTTATGACACAGTAACTCCACTGATAAGTTTCATTCCTAAGAATGAAAATACATGTATACAAATGACACAAACAAGAATGTTTGAATAGCTGGATCCCTCACAATAGCTCAAAGCAGTACACAACCCTCTTATCCACCAAGAAACGAATGATAAACACAACATTGTATATACAACTGTCTATGTGTGTGTGTGTGTGTGTGTGTGTGTGTATACACACATATTCCACACAATGGAATAAGTCAGCAACAAATTACTGAGATATAAAACAACACAGATGAATATGTATAGCATTATGTTGCATAACTTCAGAACACCAAAGAACACACACTGTATGATTCCATTTCTGTAAAATTTTTAGAAAAGGCAAAACTAATTTACATAGTAATAGAAATCTTTTTTATTATTATTACAGGAATCTTAACAAAAGTTGTCTAGCCCTAGCTGGTTTGGCTCAGTGGATAGAGCATGGGCCTGTGGACTAAAAGGTCCCAGGTTCGATTCCGGCCAAGGGCACTTGCCCGGGTTGCAGGCTTGATCCCCTACAGTAGGAGGCATGCAGGAGGCAGCCAATCAATGATTCTCTCTCATCAGTGATGTTTCAATCTCTCTATCTCTCTCCCTTCCTCTCTGAAATCAATAAAAAGTATATTTTTAAAAAGTTGTCTAGAGGAGCTGGGAAAATGTACAAGACAGCAAGAATAAATTTTCTGATACAATTTTATTCCAATATTTTATTTTTAATCATTTTATGTTCATGTTTTAGGTTTGTCTTTTACCTTATAACTAAATATTATTTTATTTTTTGTAAATGAATAATATGTTTTTTAAATGTTTAGTTCATTTTAATTTATTGGTATTGCCCTGGCCAGGTGGCTCAGTTGGTTGGAGTCATGTCCCATACACCAAAAAGCTTCAGGTTCGATTCCGTCAGGGGTGCATGCAGGAGGCAACAGATCGATGTTTCTCTCTCTAAAATCAATAAAAACATAACCTCAGGTGAGGATTTAAAATATACATTATAAAAAAATAATTTATTAGCATTACTGATATATCTGGATTTTTTCTGCCTTTTTATTTTATGCTTTGTATTTACCCTAATTATTATACAGTTTTATCCAGATTTCCACTGAATTTATTTATATTCTGATTTCTTTCTCATTTTATAAAGTTATATACACTCGCCTCTTTATGAATTTTTAACATATTCATGAATTCAAATCTAAATTCTTTTCTTTTCCTAAAAAGTACAAGAACTTTCTAATGCTTTGATTCTAGTCAAACCATCCCTGTAACAGATGATGCTACCCAGTACTTATTTTTCACCTTGTTTTCTTTCCACTAATCAACCAAATTAGATATTACTACTAAGTTTTATAGATTGTTTATTTAGATTTACAC